GTTTTTTTTTAATTTTAAGAATCCGACAAACGGCGAATAGGGTTTCAATCTGATCCCGCACTCGACCACTTGTGAGTTTTCTTTCAGGTAGGCAAAACCTTTAAAATGTGACTGAAAAAAAAAAACAAGTGAACAGTGTAATTTTCATACGCTCCTAGTCAGACATCCATTAATGGTCAAAAGTAATAAAAACATTCCAGAAAATGTATAGAAAACTTCGAGAGGCAAGTAACAGACATGATTTGTTTTGAAGTTTTTGAAACTTTACAAAAAATTGATGAGAAGTTCGAAACTAAGTCCTAACTTTTTTGTTTTTGTTTTCGGCTTGGATCCAAGTTTTTCATCATTCTCTTATAGAATTTCATAAACTTTAAAATTAATGACAATTTTTCTGATGTCCATCACAGATCATGTTTTAATTTCAACTCAAATTGTGCCCAGTTAATTAGTCAAATAGATACGTTACTAGATATTTTACTAGGTGCGGATCATATCAACTTGTACTTTATATAGCGTGAGCGAACTTTGAAAAAATTCTGAAAAAAAGGAATAAAAATTTATTTAATCATAATCATAATATTTTAGTTTTAGTTTAAACAAAGCTCCAAAAAAAAAGAAATTTAAAAAGACTGAAAAATATGCATTCATACAAGCATTTTTGTTAAACTATTAGCTAGGACGGTGCCAGTGGAGCTTCAAATGGGGCAAAACTTTCATCTACATCTGATTTCTTGAGCAGTTTTTTTTCAGGATTAAGTGAAAAAACCGCTTTTGTTTTGCAATATTGGTGATATAGTATTTTTTTCTCAGCTGTAAGGCAGTATTTTACTCTAAAAATTGAAAAAATTGCTTGAAATTGATTGTTATATGATTTCAATACCCTACTTTTTACCAGTGAATGAAGTTTGCCTCGGTCTCTCTGATTTTGACTATTGTGATTTATTTCAATTTACGTGGTTGCCAACAAAAATTTGTTTGGATAAGGATAGAATTGATTAGGAGTAAATTGATCCCCCTAAAGCAATAAAAGCTACTAATTTTTGTTCTTTCTTTTTTCACCCTCAGGAAAATCAAAATGATCTAAATGATACATGCATTTCAAAAATAAATGATCGATTTAACAAACCAGATCGAATCAAGAGAGGGGCACTTAAAAATCTAACAACATGACTAAAAAGCTAAGTTAAAAGAAAAAAAAGAGAGAAAGCTCAAAGTTAGTCTCAATTTACATAAGCAAGCAAAAGTGGGGGAGAGTAGAAAAAACTGCAGCTCATTGACGTGTCGAGTGGAGAGGGAACTTCTACCCACTGAAATCTGGCTGCCAAAATTTTTCAGAAGGGTTTCTTTCATTCGACTTCCAGCTTTGGCCGATCACCTTTAATTTTTTTTTCAAAAAACCCAAAAGGAACAAGAAGCACTTTTTTGATGTTATCATTTCAAAGCTCGCACCAGGGTTGACAAAAACAATCGATTAAATAATTTCATCCTATGGAAAAAATGTTTATCATGCAATTTCATAAATTTCATCGGCCATAAAAAATGTATAAAAAAGCCAAATAATCATTTTTCAGTATTATGAAGTTTAATAAGAAGCAATTTTTGCCACGCTCTGGAATTAAATTACAAGTTTTTTGCAGTAATTTTTATCACAAAAGTTGTGTGAAAATAGCAAACGATATTAGTATGAATTTTTATGACGAGCATTTTTTCATAAATAAAAAGGCAAACAAAACTCTTTTAAAATTTTGTGTTTTATCCAAAAACACATTAGCCAAGGGTTTTTATGATACAAAAACCAGATGAAGGTAACAGTTACTACGCAGACAAAATGCAGTCGATAATATAATTCATATAAGATATTGTTAACATGTTCACTCAGTGTTCTATACTAAAAACGTAACCTTTTGTATATGCAAGAAAAAAAATTATGAAAATTAGAAATTTTAATTGTTTAGAAAAAACTTTTTGAGTGAAAAATTTGCTCTGGACAACGTAATGGACAATAATTATCATATTTTGCTTTTTTCGAAAAATGGTTATTCAAGCACAAAACGGGCTTGCAACCAAAAAAAAAAGATTTAAAAAATTTCACATCATAATTGCATTTTTTTCTATGGAATAAAAGCACATCAAATCATTTTCCTATATGGAATTAGTTGATGAAATTTTTTTAGATACCAAAACTGCTCTCATTTGATCAATTTTGCCACTACATTGTTTTGTTTAAAGTTTTAAACCATTAAGATAATTTTCTAAACAAAGTTTTGATCAAAAAAACGCGTATCATTCAGTTTTGTTCCATGAAAACTGTATGAAAACGTTTTTTTTTTCCACAGAATTTATATGTTAAATTGTATGATAAGCATTTTGCTTGTATGGACGTCAACCCGGGTAAAAACGCTAAAAGATCACTGACCGCAAAAATTGACATAGACCACCTCTTACATTATTTCTACGCTCGTTTTTGATGCGGGTGATAAGTAAAAAATGTCAAAGCTAGGATACGAATGTTCATTTAATTTTTTCCTGGTTCTGTTTCAATTCTTCCATACTGCGAGAAAAATGCCGACAAAAGCGCGCAAACAATTTGAAAAATCTTAGTAAATTTTCTTCTCAAGTAAAAATTGGAAAGCAGCTTTTTGAAAAATTTCCAGGGGTTTTTGTATGCTCATTATCACCTTAAAATTTCCCTGACAATCGAAAGTTTTTGAACATTTTAGCTTGTTGTTAGCATGAAAACTGAATTTTGAGCATTAGAAGAAAAAATGAAATATATGGCATTTAGAGGAGCCTTTCCCACTCCCCCCACTCACAGTTCAATACTGGATTTTGACTGCCATATTTTTTGTTATTATGGCTAAATATGCAAAAATGTAATGTAACAGATGAAAAACAAATTTTTCCCCTTTATTTAGTTTGCTTGCCATGCGAAGTTTCATTGCTCTATTCAACGCTCAAATTTTAGTGTTATTTGAAATTTGAAAGTCAATTTTGAAAAAAAAAACTGGAAAAAAAGCCATTTTAACAGTCACCCTTCACCCCTCCTTTTTTCGACTTTTTTATATTATTTTTGATTGTTTGATTTTGATAATTATCCGAGAAACTTGTTTCAAAGTTGTACATGTATTGTGCGGAGAAAAACACTTGAAAAGTACGAAAATGGGGACAATGCTATAAATTTCCTTATTATTATTATTATTATTTTTTGTTGATTGATTGATTGCCCGTAAAATACAACATAGTTCGCCGATAAAATTGTTCTAAAAGTCACTCTAGTTATTTCGAGTGAGCAAAATATTTTTAGGAATGAACATTTAGCAAAAAATAGCTGGTTCTGCGCTAATTTACCATCCCATCTAACGGATTACACGGCTTTTAGGAATATGTCTTTATTTTATGCTGTCTTTTACTAGAAATTGCAGTCTTCTGCTAGAAAGATCTGCAGGTTCCAACTCAAGCAAGCAAAAACGAGAAACAATGCTTAAAACCACATGAAAACGAAAAAATATATAACTAGGGGAGCTAATTTTTCACATTTCTAGATAAAAGCTAGTCGAAATATGTGAATAGTCAAAAACAAGCAAATCTGAGGCAGACAAATTAAACAGAATGGCTGAAAATGTTAAGAAATTACCAACTGCTAATCGTGAGAAAACTAATCGAAATATGATAAAGCGAAAAAAGCATGAGGGTAAAAAATCATAATGTGAGACCATTTATAGCTGCTTTTTTGTCCGGAGTTTAGGTTTACAATTTTGGGCACTGAAGACATTGTGCAAACTTTACGCCATCGAATTTTTATTTTTGTTTTCTAGACTAATTAATTAAAGTTGGCAAAACGTCATTGAAATTTTCAGTAAACTGTTTGCCACGTCATTTTGATTGAAAGGGGGAAAATTTAAAGATTGTGCAAACAGTCATCAAAAAATTCAAGAAATTTCCGTTTAGTAACTGTTGTATAAAATAACTTGGGTAACATCAAAAAACACAAATCACGAGGGCGCAAAACCTGCATTGCTGCGTAATTAGTCTTAGGAAGATACTGCACCTGTACATGATCAAGCGGGTTTTATTTATAAACGGTGCTTGAGAATCGCGATTTGCAATCTGGACTAACTTGTTCTGTTGTTCAAAAAAGTGCAGAACACTTTAGCTTGATGTTGTCTTTCCCCCAAATTATTTCGACATCGGAAACTTCATGCTCTTAGCTCAAATTTAAAAAATTGATCACCTGTGATCACTTTTGACATTTAATCTGTCATGTTTGACAGAATTTTTTATATTATTAGAAAAATATTGTTTTCTCCAGCTCATACTTGAAAATATTTGTCAGACCTGCGTTCCTTTTTTTATAAACAACTGCCAACTTAGGACTATTAACACGCTATATACTTATGCAAAAATATACCGTGATAGAAAATGTTTCGAAATTAACTTAGGCATGCTATTTAATGTATTTAAAAATTCGCTAAATGCGAAATTTATCATTTTGTTTTCTACCTACCGTTTGGGCGAATAAGTTTCAAAAACAATCTCAAAAAATTTATTATCAAATAATTTTCATTTTTTAAAAAAATTTTATCAATTTTACTTTAAAGCGAATGCTACTCCATAAAGCTTAAAAGGCGTTGGATCATTAAGGGCTCCCATTTGATACGAAAAGTCTTGTTTTATTCAAAAAAACCGTGCTAGTCAGGTGTTTCGGAAATTGCTAGAAATAGAGACAATCTAAAAACTAAGATTTTTTAGATTTTACAGGTTCATTTTCTCAAATAACTTTTTTTCTGCTCAACGATTCTTTCCTGACAGAACAACAAATAGATGAAGAAGCCCATACAGTTTTCAGTCGTTCGGTGAGAAAAAAATTCAGAAGTTTATAAAATTTGTTGCACAGTGAAACGAATCAATGCTTGGAATTAATTAAGTTAACTGATGCTTGAAGAACCTGAAACCTGGTCAGTTATTACTGTAAATTATTTGATTACATTAATGCTATCAAATAACTTACAGTATTATCAGACCAGCTTTCAGGTTGTCCACGCATTAATATTTAAACTAAATCAAAAGATCTCAGTGGTCGTTGGGCTGGATCATCTCCTCGACTACATAAACAGTTTCGTTCATCCCATCGTTGATACACATCTCAGCGCACCTTTCATATGAGTAGTAAAGGTTCAGTCTTGGAGGCGTTTCACAGTTTCCTGTTCGACATTCGTTGCTGCTGGGATCATACGCCCATGCATTGGGAGTAAAACACCTTGCCTCTTCACCTGAACACTTTTTACCATTGTGAATTTTTTTTTCATAGTTTTCATAGTGACAATATCGATAAACTGTAACCGTTCAAAAGTGTAGCATTTTAGATTAATGCGTTTTTTGAACTCGGTTTTCATGAGTAAAAATCAGTGATAAACTGAAAGGCACCGTTAGATTAATTAACTTCGTTCGGATTTTTGGCATTAACTATATAAATATACTTGCAAGCTGTCTATATATTATTTTAATATCAGATATGTAAATATAATAGGTTTTAACATCACTTTTCGATCAACTTATCACACTGCAAAAAGACTACTTAATTTATTAAGGAGATTTAATCCTTTCTCTTCTGAATATTTGGTCTAATTAACCTGGAGTATATATGTAATTTAGTTCAGCTCTAGTTCATTAATTCTAGTTTCACTATAAATCTTTATCTTTAAGACCTGCCACAAAGATTGGCCAAAACTGTTTCCCAATGACTTTCCTAAATGTCAAACCAACTTAACGACTCTAAAACTATTTGTAACCTGGCAGAAAACACGCCAAAACACCATTTTCGGAGCTTTTTTGGTTCGATGAGAGGAACTGCGCCTCCCACTCGCAAGTTTTTACAAACTGACGTATATTTGCCTTTTAAAAATCTTAACTAAGGTCGTAAATAAATTTTGAACAAAAAGATTTTGAAATAGTATTACCACATTTTTTTTTGTGATATAAATAGTGTAATACAAGTTATGAAATGAAAGAAGTGAAACCTATAAAAAGACATGGTTCGTCCAAGGTGAGTAGCGGTGGTATTCTTGTTGGGGATCTCGAGTAGCCGAATTTGATCAGAGAAACAGCTAGCAAAAATGTGGACAGAATGATTGATTTCATTGTGAAAAACCTGAAAAACAGCAGCTCATGATATAGTAAATGCAACAATTACAGAGAACTTTTTTTCGTTCATATTTAAAACATTCTTTATTTTTCAAAATTCAAAATTTAGTACTTCGAGCGAATTGGGATTTAAACCAAACCTCAAGAAACAGGTCTTTTTGCAGTTAACTCGGATAGTCGGAATGAGAGACCAGTGGCAGAGTGGAGATTCTTGAAATTCAGAAGCTTGACGTAGGCGTTCCCTTTTTGTACCGGTAACTAACCTAAATTTAGCTGTACAATATACTTTTTTCGCCTAATTTCAGTTTTTAGCAAAATTAGGCTGACAAAATTGAGGGCACTTATTAAGAGTACATCCCTGCTGGGTACATACCTGCTTTCTGATAAAGAAACTAACCGAAAGTGTGGTTTTTGAATCGATAAGTCTTAAATTAAAATACGATTTCACTAGTTAGACGAGAAAGATTATAACGTGATCAAGTTTTGTTTGATTGATTACAATAATCGCCAAATTTGTGTGATTTTGAAGATAAAAATATGCCTTTTGGCTAATTCAAAATGATCACGTGGGTATTTGAAATAAGATATATGTTTCCGGCTTCAGAGATAGCAGGCGAATTTTGTTGCTGCGCAAGCATTACAGACTAGTCTGAACTTGCCAATCGTATAAACTGAATAATTGTTCCGACCATTGAAAATGGGGAGGAGCTTTGTATTCGGGTGTGTTTTAGTTTTTTTTTCTTGTTTTTCACGCAAAATCAGGTACCAAAAATAATCATCGGACTGGGTTGAGTAATATATCCTACTAAAGCCCTTTTATTCGCAATTTGAACGACATTAAAAATTTTCCAAAAAGTTCTCCCAGTGTCGAGAAAAACCGATTTGAATTTTTCTATTATGGTCTAATTTCGAACTAATATGGCGTGAGCGTGTAGGCATACAAGCTAAATTATTCCTAATTTGAGGCCTTAAAACTTACTTTTAAGCATGTAAAACTAGTTTTTGGGTTTTTTTTAGTTTCATTTTGGGAACCATTAACTTCAAAAAAATTGAAAAAAAAAAATTCTGCAAAAAAATTTAAAAAAATTTTTGAATAATTTTTTAATAATTTTTAAAAAGTTTTTCAGGACATATTTTGACAAGAATTTTTGCCCAATTTTTCTATATTACTCTGACTGTCTAATATGCCTAAAATATATATATTTTTTTGTCTGATCCTTTTATCACACCAAGCAGAAAAAATTTTCTCAACCGTAGTTTTCTAAACACTATCTATGGTCGGAACATTCTGTTCTACTTGCACATGGTCGGAACATTCTGTTCTACTTGCACAGTTACCGGTTATCCTTGTTTTATTTTCGTTTTTGCTAAATTTTCCAATAATTTATTTTGGTTCAAACGTTTATTTTTTTTCGGACGAGTTGATACTATAAAAGGGCTGACATAAAAATTTCTTGAGGGTGCGAGTACAGACTTTCAAAAATTTCAAAAACTTTTTCGACTTGTTTTTGGTCAATTTAACCGGTTTTTTTTAGATATCTCAAATCTCTATGAAAACACCTTTTGAAAAAAAAACGTTGAAAAAAGTTTCAGGGGTATTTTGAGAAGATTTTGCCCAAAAAAATTAGGTTTTCATGGCCCGAGCTAGCCATCAAAAATACCAAAAAAAATTGATATCCTAACAAAGTACTAAAAGGGTATCTTTGGGTGGCAAGGGGTCTAACCCTTGGTGAAAACGTAAAAAACCTGATAAAGAGCGCACCTTTGCTCGGTTCCTAAACTCCGTACCTGATTTTTACATTATCTTATTTTCAATGAAAACGATGGGTAATTTTTTAAAGATGTTGCACTCAATCAAGATATTTAATCAAAAAAATAAGTTTCTGATACTGAAAAATTCTATTTTTTTTTATTAAATATCGTGATTGGCTGCAACTTGCTGAAAAAATTACCCATCGTTTTCATTGAAGTTAAGATGATATAAAAATCAGGAGCGGCAAAATCTGCTCAAAATACCTCTAAAACGGCTTTTTCCACAGAAACTAAATACAATGCAAATTTACCGAATTTATATTTCTGCTCTTTTCTGAATGTTTGATCAAAACCGTCGGCCCCATAAATTCAAGAGCAATTAACAAAAATAAGTGTACAAAAAATTGGATTGAAGTTTCTGATAAAGCCTTCTACGATGCCCAAAAAGTTTTTGCCGTATTGAAAATGACGAGTCGCGAATCGAGAATTGAGACAAATTGAAAAAAAAAACAGCAAAATTTGGAACGGTTTAGGGTCAACATTTGTACTGTTTTCTGAATGCAAACTCCATAGTTTTATAAGTTTAGGTTTTGACAAAAGTAAAATACCTGTTTAAGGTTTTAGCTGAATTACATCTAAGCTGGCATAACATAGTAAAAAAACATAAATAGAACCAGCGGCCGGTCTTTAATTTTTTCTGGGGAGAAGGATTTTCAAAAACTTAAAAGAATTTTATAAATATATTTTTTTCTAAGCTGATCAAATAAATTGATTTTCCGAGCTATCTAAAGAAACAAAATAAGCTCTGGTTTTGCACTTCTTTTTGAAAGTTTTAGACCAGTTTAAGTTTACTTTATCTTAAACTTAACAGAAGTTCTTTAGATGCGCTGAGAATCTTGTATTGAGCACCTTGAGAGCACAGTTTAGGTTTTGAGTATCGTAAAATAATGCTTAAACTTCAAGTTTGAGAAAAAAAACCTACTAAAACTTAATTTTTTTTTTTCAGAACTTCATTTCATTCTCGTGACAGAGGTCTTCATCAGCCCCAGAAAATGAATGGCCAGCGCCAAAATAAAGACTTAAAATTGAACAATTGTTAACATATTGTTCGATTGTCATCAAAACATAGGACGGCACATTGATTTTTGAAAAAAAATGACGCTATGACAATTTAAAATAAATCTGTACTTATTGACCAAAATTTTAATTCAATGCCAGTGAATTATCGAACTTTCAATTAGATGGTTTTTAATGACAGAAATGGTAAACAAAATTAACAAAATGTTGGCTGTATTTGAACTGTTAAACTATAAAATGATAAACTTAACGAATCATTGTTGAAACGGTGTCCGGACCAAAGATAAAAATGTTATTGTTTTGATTGATTAAACATCTTTATTTTCAATTATTTGCTTCTTTGTTTTTTATTATGGTATCTTGGATGATTTTAGAAAGGGGTATTTTTTGGAATAGTATCGTATCGACTGGGATCTTCTCGTTTGAGATCTTAAGATGTGTGATCTTTTGTCATGTAATCGTTGAAACAGTTGTTTCAAAGAATTGAAAAGTTCTGAAACTGATACTTCACAATTGACTGTTTGCATAACAAATGCGAGCGTTGATTCGAATTTTGTCATATCGAAAAGTAAATATTTCAACTATCACATTCCATTGTTTTATACGAATCGAGCAACAAAAATCATCATGTCATCAGCTAGTCAATTAAAGTTGAACTCTAAAATATTCGGAAAAGGCTTTAGTGGAATTGATTGAACTCTAAGTTTCAGTCGCATGTGAGATGTTTGTAAAAGCACCTAAAAATGCTGAGCTTGCGAAACAGCTGTATTTGTTGTTTTTTATTTTGAGCTGATTGCAATGCCAACATTTCTGATGACAAATTTTTCCACAGTTAAAACAAATTGCTCGGGTTGAATTCCATGCATGAACTCCAGACTTTCAAAGCCACATCGAAGAAAAATAAGGATGTAGGTAGGATAGTTTGAACTATTTAATTTGTTTGCCAAAGAATAGGTTTATTTTGTGAATACCAGAAAAAAAAATGTAAAAAAAGGCATTCATAGGAATCTTTGCCACTCACCCCTCATTCTCAAAAATTACAATTTTGACCGTTGTTTTTTTTGTTATGGCCATTTTCCTTAAGTCATCATGTAAGACATGAAAAACAAATGTGTTACCAATATATCGTTTCGCCAAATGTACTACGAAACATCGGCAGAATCATAAATTTGACTTTGTCTTCGAAAGTTCCCAAGAAAATGAATTAAAAGCAGTACCAAGAGTGAATGAGCCAGAAATACAGACGAAAAACGAATGCCCGATATCATCGGTGTCGATTGTAGCAAAAAAGAAGCAAGGAATAAGTCGGAAGGCAGCGAAAAACTGTCCGATATCGTCTGTACCCATAAAGGAGAAAGGTCAAGACACTAGCCAAAATAATTCAGAAAGCTGCCCGATATCGTCGATTCCAATTGTGGAGAGGACGAAGATTTCACAAAACAAGGAAGGGGAGTTGGAGGCTACAGGCTTAGGAACCACTTCAGTAGAGGCGGAACGGAAGTCTGAAGAAGTCAAAACTTCAGAACCAATCAGACAAGAATAATGCAGCAGGTTCAATTCAAGGTTACTTGATTTGGGCTTCTGGTCTGGCATCTCCTGTTCCGCTCTAAATGTTCGACTATCAGTGTCCCTTGATTGAGGTCGCTTCTGAGACTTGCTGCGAGAAGAAGGTTGCTGTTAGTCAGTTTCCTCAGCGCTTCTGATCCCTCCTTATGTGTGAGCTGCTTTTTGTGCAGTTTTCAACCGTTTGCCGCCTTTGCCAGATTCTCTAGAGCCCTGATGTTATCTGGCTCTTCCGCTGACTTCTTCAGTTTAGGTGAAACGTCTCTGTTTACCATTCCTTTCTTGACCACCTTCGGTCTGGTTCCTGAATAGCTGATTCTCGCACTTCTTCTGGCTTCAGCATGGATTTTTTGAGCCTTTGTTGATCTGTATTGTGCTTACGGCCATAATGAAGTTCAAATGGGGACTTCTTCAGGATACTGTGACGTGTTATACAAATATCTTCTAATATCGATATGACTGCTGATTGAATATCCTCAAAATTTGGGTCCAACTGCATAGTGCCTGGTTTATAGAGTCTGAATACACCTTTCCACTAATTCATAACCTCGATGGTCGCCTACGGGTCAAATCGATCTTGATTTATCCCCCTTAGATCTGCAAAACTCTGCTACTTTAACGTTTTTGAATCCAGAATTTTGACTTGTTCTTGAATGCTTTGGTATGCTATGTTGGTGAATATAGTTATTTAGAAACTTGAGAATTTTTTTGCTCCCCGAGTTTCGAGTAATCAAAAACCGGTCAATTGTATTTAGAATAAAACGCTTTTGTTCGGTTTAAGTGCGAGAAGTCTGAATCAAACATGGGCCCAGCGAAATCCATTTGAAGCTCTTCCTTTGATCTGGAAAGGTCTGGCAGAGGTTCTGAAGAGTTGAATGATTTGGATGTTTTAAGGTTCTTACCATACGCGGAGCAGGATCTGGAAGATTGGCATACGTCTATGATTCCAGATATTTTGTGCAGCATCCACCAAGGCTTGCTAACCTGGTTGTTTTTGTGCAGTCGAGCCATAATGGCATTCCTCAGATAAGTAGGAATCGCCACCCTGTTGTAGATGATGATACAGTCGTTTATCACCGATGCGTCGTCACAAAAGTTGGCCATGTAGTTGCCCAGTCGTAGGAACCCCTCTAAATCCTCTACATGAATATGTTTGC